GCCAGAAGAATCTGTCTCTGATCAGTGATGTTGTACGATACAATGCCTTGATGGCTTCCTGTGAAGAATGCCATCTTCGTCAAAATGGAGTCTTTCCCATTCATGCAGCAGACACTTACTTTGCATACTGAAGGTGTTAAGTCCATGTCCTGATGGCTTGTTGTCTGTCAGTTTACACTGCATTACTGAACCAATGTTCTTGTCATCTTGCTGTGCTTGTTGAATCTCAGCAGCTGAGAATGCTTTGTGTGTCGCTTCATTTACTGCTGTACACTGTACTGGGCAGACCCCTGGTGAGCTGGTGTCTTGAGACTCAACAGCTTTGGTTGTTGCTGCCACACAATCTGATGCCAACTCTTCAGTACACTGTGTCATCATCTCTTCAATGTTTACAGGCATTCTTGACAGACTGTCAGCATCCACATTTTCTTTACCTGGTCAGTACCTGATAGTAAATTGAAAGTCTGCAAGCTCTGCTACCCATCTGCATCCGGTTGCGTTGAGCTTGGCACTTGACAGGACATAAGTGAGTGGATTATTATCACTAAACACAGTAAAAGTAGGAGCATAGTACAGATAGTCTCTGAATTTATCTGTGACTGCCCACTTCAAGGCAAGGAATTCCAATTTCCCTGAGTTTTGCCTGTAACTTGTCTTATGCTAGTCCTGTGTCGTGGCACATTGTTGTCTTCTGGCATTCCTTTTAGCAAGTTATAAAGTAGTCCTGCGATGCGGGAGAAATTCTGTATGTATTGTCTGTAATAGCTTAACAAGCCCATTATGGCTCGTAGCTCACCTGCATTGTTTGGTCTCTTGTCTTTCAAAACTCTCACAGCAATAGTGTCAGCTGGATCAATTTTGCTGCCTTCTGCTGAGACGATTCTTCCCAAATAGCGGACTTCATGTTTGAGTAATTCACACTTACTGGGTTTTAACTTGATCCCATGTTTTCTCAACAGCTGGAGCACCTTTCTGACATGATTCACATGGTCCTCAAATGACTGACTGTACACAAGGGTGTCATCCGAGTAGGGGATACAGATGTTGTCTCGCACCTCTTCCAGACACTCTTCCATGCAGCGTTGAAAGGCTGTGGGTGCATTTATCAGCCCGAATGGAATCCTTATCCATTCATACAGACCCCACAGAGTCACAAATGCAGTCAAAGGCCTGCTGTCTTCATCCATAAAGCCCTGATGTTAGGCCTTTTCTTGGTCTAACAGTGAAAACCATGAGTGGCCACCAAGACTGTCAAGGATGTCCTGCACTCGAGGGATTGGCTGTCTGTCCGGGTAAGTCTTTTTGTTTAGTTCCCTGTAATCTATGCAAAGATGTAGGCAGCCATCTTTTTTCCTTACACAGACAACAGGTGTGGCATACGATGAGTTGGACTTCTTCACCCATCCCTGTGCAATAAAGTTGTGCAAATAGTCTTTCATCTCTTTATATAGTGGATTTGGTACTGACAGGTAAGTGCGTGCTACAGGATCCATGTCCTTCAATGATATGCTCAACTTCAGCTTCTCAATACATCCAATGTCATCATCTGATTTAGAAAAAGAGGAGCACTCTCCTCGGAGCATGTTCTGTGCTATTAATCTTTCAGGTTCACTCAGATGACTCAAGTTAATTGGTGGAGTCCATGGAATGTCGGTACTTTGCTCACTTTCTGCATTCACTTGACTCACCGACACTGGAGGAGGATGATTGGGTCTCTCGAACACTGTGGCTGGATACACAGCCTGAACTTGCTGCACGGTGCCCACAACAGTTCTTCCTGACAACTCAATATCATGGTCAGTGGGATTTTGCACATCGAGAACAATGTAAGGTGAAACACCACTTCTGAGTTTTATCACTAAACTCTAGGCCTTCAGCCCACTGAGGATTTATGTCAGGCTCAAAGAGAAGTGTAGTGTCTTTTTTCAGTGGCCGTGTCTGTACCTTACAGTCTATTTGAACAGATGTGTGTTTGGGTACAATGACTTTCTCTCTAGTTGTTTTCACAACATAGTCACATGACTGTCCCACAGTCACCAGATCAATGAAGGCTGTAACATTTTCTTTCTGAAGGCAAGGGAAAGCTGTTCTCAATGTCTCATGCAACTGCTCTGTTCTCATAACATCTGGTTCTCCTATTGTGCAAGTTTTTATTATTTGCTTAATGACATTAAAGCCTAGGATGGGCTGTGAAAGACGTCCACCTTTCATTACTAGCATGGGGACAACAGGTTCTTTGGGGTCGGCTCTATCTGCAGCTAATCCAAAAGTGACCTCAATGAAGCCCTCATACGGCATGTCCTGTTCTTTTTTTTTTTTTTTTTTTTTTTTTTTTTTTTTTTTTTTTTTTTTTTTTTATTTTTTTTTTTTTTTTATGGTTTTTTTTTTTTTTTTTTTTTTTTTTTTTTTTTTTTTTATTTTTTTTTTTTTTTTTTTAATTGGGGGGGGGGTTTTTTTTTTTTTTTTTTTTCCCTCCGGGCAAGGAACCCCCCCCAAAGGTGGTGGGGGGAATTTTTTTTATTTTCCCCTCCCCCCCGGGCCGGGGGGGGGGGTTGGGGGGGAGGGGGGGGGGGTATCCTGTGCTACAGGTGTGGCAAGATACTGTGTCTGTGCTGGGTTAGGCTGTTGAATTGACTCTCTAATTTGTGCAACTTCAGCACCAAGATTTTTCAGCAGTGCCATTTCAGTCCGCATTTCTTTCAGTTCATTTAGTACATCTGGCTGAATTTGCTGGTGTGTTCCAGATTTGGGTTTTTAATTTTTTATCTGCAGGTGTGTCATGAGACTGAGCTGCGTGCACAGTGGTTGGCCGATGTTGGATAAGTAGTTTATTTTTATTTTGTCTCTCTGCTTCGTTTGCACAAGCAATGTTGAGTTTCTCAATGAGCAGCTCATCACTTGTTGTTGTTTGTTGCAGATATGGCTGGAGGTCGCTCCTGATGCTGTCATTCTGCAGGCCTGTCAGGACGATATGGAGAAACATGCTCTGGACAGGATCATATCTGAGACCAGATTCTGCTTCCTGTGAAGCAAACAGGATTTTTTGCCTCAAGTCTAGGGCACGGATCAGGAAGTTTTGTGGGGTTTCCTTATTACTTTGGACCTCTGAGGTAAGTTGCTTGTACAGTTCTGTTGCCCCCTTTCCTTGGTAATGAGATCTGAGGATTCTTCTCAAGGTAGGTAAAGTAAGATTGTTTTTTCCCTCAAGGTTGCTGCGTAATTGTAATCCTGGTGCTATTACTCTGATCACTGCATCAACTATTTCTATTTCAGGAAATCCCTTGCTAATGCCTTGCTCAATTTGATGTGCTAGACTGGAGAAGGTAAGCTTGTCTCTTTGTCCTTGCTCAACAATCTGGCCTGCTATTTTGAATTCTCTGTTCCACAGAAGTGAGAGACAAGGTTGGGGGGTCAGTTGGGCAGGGGCGTGTTCTTGTTTAGCACTGCTAGCTTCCCCACTGACTGATGTCTTGGCTCCGCTGACTTGACTTTGTTTCTCTTGTAGGGATAACGCTAATGCTATTTGTAGTGTCTATCTCTTTTTTTAACTGCTCTGTTTCTGAAGGCTGAATAACCTGCTCTTTCACCAGGTCTGTCAGTTTTCATTTGAGGCCACATGTTCTGTTGCACTATTTTGAGCAGCCTGTTGAAACTTGACGATTTTATCTCTCAACAGCAGTAGTTCTGCCATCCCCCAAGTCCTTTTAACTCTTCTCTCTCTAAGTGGCTTGTGACATGTGAGATGAGAGAGGAGCGACTTTTACCTGATACCTTTTCACAGGTGGGACCAGCAATCGTTAGAAAATCACAAAGTTCAATCAACGTGTCTCTTGTTAGTGTATACAGAGCTCCACCAGTTTCTAGTTTTAAGTCCTCTAGCTCCGAAGAATCCATTTCCAATCTCTGACCCGTGGACCTCTGTGTGATGAAGAACCTTCTCCCTGCAGATTAGACAACGCAGCTCTCCTGGTACCCGTGGTTGACCTCAGATTGCATGCAAGTCTCTCTCCGCAGTTGATGAACCACCACACACTCTTGTCCACCTCGGCTGTAGATGTGGAGGGTTGAATGATGATCGGGGACCTCTATCTGGGACAGCTAGCCCTCGTCACATTCATCCCAGCGGTGCCTCCAAGATGGTGCGCCCTGAAAAGGGGAGTGAATGAATGAAACGTATGGACACGATGCTTCTCTTCTGGCAGCTTCATTCAGAATGAAGCATTGTGGCCCGAGATCTCCCCCTTTCAACCTCTGCAGGCATAACTAATCGATCACAGGTGGTTTCTCAGAAAAGGATCAACAGATGATCACAGATTAATTCAACTTCTGACAGGTAAGTATCCTTATGCCATTATTTTTTTAACTCTGTTAGTTCAACTAACTCTGTAAGTTCAACTTTTTAGCATGTATTCTGTATTCATTGCTTTTCAACAAACATTTTCAACAAAAACACAAAACAGATTCCAAAAAGTGGATGATTTTAAATGTGTATGAAAAAGTGGAAACCCATATAGAATCAATTCAATGATCTTTGATATGAAGTGTGCTGCTTTATTGTGTAATAACTGAAAAGCAGATTCTATATTTATGTTCTTTAAAAAGTCGTGGAATTTAAAAACAAGATTACCTAATGCAGTAGCCATGAACATTGAAGAACCAGTTATAAATAAAGTGTCCAATGTATAATGTAAATAAAATCTGTGCATTTTGTGTAAAACTTTGATAAATACAGCTGCTTGGTAGGGATCCTATCAGTGGTCTCTTCCACAGTAGTAAACACAGCTGTTCACTTAGGGTTTTATTATCTGAAAACTATCAAAAACATCATTTTAATATAGATGTCAAGATATCAAAGGTTAACTGACTGCCAGTAAATGTTGTCATTGCACAACCACTGAAACAGTAAACGGATAATTTGCAATAAGATAACAAAGTTAACGGTCAAATGTGATATTAAAAATTAACAGAGTCTCTATAAACAACATAAAAGCCGCCAGGGGGATCATATCAGTCAGAGTTTAGGTGACTGAACGACGCTGAATCAACTTGGAAGATGAATTTTACCATTGTATTGTCTATGCTGCTATACTGCAGCCTGATTTTGGCCCAGGATGATGTTAATGTTCCTGAAACAGAAAGAACTAATGAAACACAGTCATGCTTTCCAGACATGTGTGAATTCCTGAAAGAGTTTGGTGCCATGACAGAAAAACAGAGAGTTATGGAAACCAGACTGAAGAACGGTGAAACCAGACTGAAGGACGCTGAAACCAGACTGAAGGACAGTGAAACCAGACTGAAGGACAGTGAAACCAGACTGAAGGACAGTGAAACCAGACTGAAGGACAGTGAAACCAGACTGATGGACAGTGAAAATCAGATTCTTGAACTGAAGAGCAAAGGTACAGTGAAACTTTTGCCCTGATTAGTTTTAAGACTTTATTGGAGAATTATTTTGGGTGTCAGAATGAACACACTATAACAGTGCAGAAGTTAATTTACTAAATAATGTGATCACAATGTTTTTACACAGAAAAGACCGTGGTAGTGTTCAGTGCAGCAGCAGGAGGAAGAGGAACCATTGGACCCTTTAATACAAATACAACTGTAGTCTACAGAATAGCTAAAACAAACATTGGCAATGCCTACAGTCAATTCACTGGTAAGTACAGACTTTTTCTAGAATTTCTTAATTTACAAATAAATATGTAACTCATCGCTTTCTTGACTCTGATTGGTTGGTGTTGGTTATAAATGGCATTGTTTTTTTTTTTTTGGAAGCAGATCCGTGAATGATAACGATAAACTAAAGGGAGAACAATGTGTTGACATCACTTTTAACGTCTGAGGCTCACCTCCAGGGCTCAGATCCTCTGGTTCTGAACCCGTTCCTCTAATGTGTGGTTACGATGTTTTCATGTAGAAGTGGTTCATCTAGTACACTTGCTAATAGATTCTAATTCGTGGGATTTTGGAAAATTTCATCTCCTCTAATTGCGTTGCGACGTTCCAGAACTGAGAGATATTGTTTTGAGTCTAAAATTACTATCAGCTCCGATATCCAAGTATATAATATTTTTCCAACCCAAGGCCCATTTTACAACAAAGGGATACACAAGTTGGAAAAAGTCAAAGGTTTAAAATACTCCTTGTAGTATTAAAATAGTTTGCTGGAACCACAGTACACCTGTTCAAAGGTAAATTTAGGGTGCGTAAGGACTGAAAACCCTTTGTCAGTGCAAACTGTGAAATCCCAAGTAAATGCGTGCACATGTTTGTTGCTAGGTTGACATAGCTTTCTGAAATGTGCGTCCATCGGCGTTGGGCGGTTAATGATTAATGATTAAGACTTTAATCGTTCCACTTTACATTAAGTAATTCGGTTATGTTATGTGAAAACTGTTTGACTATGAAGAAAGTTCTTGTGCGGCCGCGCCCAAGAGCAACTGCTGAGCGGTGAATAAGTCGAAACTTTACTGATACGACATTGTACAGGTTAAATATAAGTCTCCCCTTCAGAGAGTGAAGCGTCACCACTGAGTTAGTAACCTCCCAAAAGTTGGGGTATATCAGAGGGTGGAGCGTCACTCTTTCCTTTATCTTCTCTTCGGCTCGCTTTTCTTCTCTCTCTTAGTCAACTAATAATTATTGTCCCGCCATTTGTTAATTTCCGTCTGTTGTTGCTCAACTTCGTTAAGACGGTAATTTCCCGTGAATAGGCGCCCTGAGCTTGCTAAGTACTTTATTTTAAGGGTAAACACAAGATTTCTTCTTTTATATTTTGTAGTCTTATCGTAGAAATATGTACATGCCACTACAGAAGTGAATTTAATCAGTTCTGGACTTTCTTGGGAGATTGTATTGTTTTTAATCCTCCAGTTTTCTTCAAACAAGAAGCTGAATGGGTTGATCAAGCTGAAGACTAACTTCTTCACTCTAGACATTCATCATCAGCCAGAGAGAGACTCGAGTGATTGACGCTCAGAAGACGATAAGCGTTTCCGCGAATAAGACATTATTCCCCCACCCCGCCCCCACTCTTGGCACACGCCGCTGGGCCTTTTGGAGGAATGCCACTGGAACCAGGGCGGTCTCCCCACTTCCCTCAATTTGAAAACAGTGCCTCTGCTGGTCAATTGCTGGTAACTTAATGCCAAAGAGTAGAAAGAGGCCCTCTCGCTGTTCGACTATTAAAATTGAATTTGTAACATCACCCCTAGTGGCTGGCTGTGTTAACAAGCAGATACATTGAGATAATACTGTTGATTGACTTGGCTAATTGAATTTGAGAATTCAGGCTTTAATAGGCTGAAATCCTGCACATTGATTGGTTAATTTGTAACATTAAAAAGCCTGTGATACTGCAAAACCGGCTATTGTATACTGATGCGTCTCATTATACAGGTTAATCAAACAATTAGAGTTGTAAATTACACATTCGATAAAACATTTCTTTGATTAATCCAAATTTAATTGAAATATTAATTCCTTATAATATTATTCGGAATTCGATTTTGATGCTATGCTAGAGGCATCAAGTCAAATAATTAAGCTGTTAACCACTATTCAAGTGAACTTCACGGTTATATCAAATACTTTAGCTTTTGTGTTAAAACACTAGCTTTCAGGTTCTTTGAAATCCAAACGCTGTTTTGAACTAAGTATCACGCATCAAATTAATTGACCAAGCAAATTCTACTTCTAATTGAAAATAATTCAAAATTAAAATTCAAATAAGATAAACAAAAAAAAACAAACAAAGTACATACAATTAAATTTAAAACTTTTTATTTTAAGTGTTAATTTCTTGCTGTTTGTTGTTGAGAACCCTAAACTACAGTCAATTCACTGTAGTAAGTACAGACTTTTTCTAGAATTTCTTAATTTACAAATAAATATGTAACTCATCGCTTTCTTGACTCTGATTGGTTGGTGTTGGTTATAAATGGCATTGGGAGCACTAGAACAAGCTAGAGGAAGCAGATTTTTTTCACAGATTATCTGTCTCATGTACTGCTGTCAGGATTAGGGATGGGGATCGAAACCTGGTTCTATCAAGGACCCGGTTCCACTTTTTTCAAAACCTGAAAATCAATAACGTTTGGGCTTATCGATACCACTATCGAGTCTCGTCGTTTTCTTTTTCTCCCGTACGTCCTGTAACGTAATTGTGTGTCCCTTGAGTCGCGTCACGGCATTTAAATCTAATCAATCCACTCACTGCAGCATGTCCACCAATGTTTTTGAATGAAATTGTAAGCAAACAGGTATTAAAAGTAAAACAAGTGAAGTCTGGCAGTTAACTTTGCTCGCGAGGATGGCTGAACGGGCGAAAAGGTCAACAGTTTGGCTTCATTTTACCAAGCTCAAAGATAAAGAGGAAGCGAAATGCAACTTATGTTGCAAAATAATTTCTTGTAAAGGGGGGAACACAACCCTTAATGGCCAAGCACATTAGCATTGTGCATCAAATAAAGGCCAAATGCAGTACCTTTGACTGCCTCCGGGTTGAAAAGACTCTGTCTCCTCCTCCTCCTGCTGCTGCCGCACCATCACAGACGGGCCCGTCTTCATCATCCACTCAAAGTACCAGCGGTAAGCGCACACACAGACTTTGTAGCTTGTCCCGTCAGTTAAAAATAGTTTTCCAATTGTGAAATCCGTGTGTTGTAATCGGCAGCATACAAGCTAGTTAGCTTGAAAAGTAAATAAAGTTTCAGACGTGCTGCGTGATGATGTGTTCAGGTTGGCTCAGTAAAACGACTCTTAGGTTATAATTTCTGCCAAAAAATACCTGTTAATTTATGAGCTGATATTTTATTTCCTTTTGTGTGACACAGCATATTATTTATTTAATTTATATACATTATGACATTCATTCATTTGGTGCTGCTGATATATTATTTGTATTGTTAGTTTTATGTAATTTCGAAGTGGCCTATTACATTAGCCATGTTTATTGAAGGCTAGAAACGTTTTTGTTATGCTCACTTGTTAAGCAATAAAAGCAGTACCAGTTCTGTTAAAAACATATTGTCGCGTCTTTCCACCAAATAATAGAAAAGTATTGATAGTGGTATCGATAAAGACTCGGATCGATAAGGAGTATCGATAATGGTATCGATATCAATAAATATTAACGATCCCCATCCCTAGTCAGGATGAAGTGAAAATGACAGGAAATGTGACAAAGAAAAAAACAAAAAGGTAAATAAATACTTTTTATAATAATAATGGGTCCTTCTCCGTTCCAGTACAATCTGAATACAGAATACATTTTACCCATGCTATCAGAATGGCTTTAAGTCTGATAGTGTTGGTCAGTATATGTCAATACACCATCGAGATAACCAGGAGATGAATTGCTATGAGGATAGGAAATTTTACACAGACGCTACGGGACAGGAGGATAGATCTGATAGATTTTCATCATCCTCTGACTTTTCCTCTGGAGTAAATAAGGTAAAGAGATTCCAAGAGGATGAATTGTAATAATATTGATCCCTTAACTTTTCATCTAGGGCCATCATCAATTGGTCTTAAGTTTATGACGAAATACTAGCAATAATAATGACATTTCCATTTTTGATTGAAATTGTTTCTTTTCTCTGAAAGTAACAACCTGAGAAGTTAGTCTGAGAAAATTGGGCAATTCTTAAAAAAAAGGAAACATAAATAAGAGTAATTATGGGAAAATGTAAATAAATGATTTTAATAAAGAAAAAAAAATGTATTTTAAAATGGAGTAAATTCATGTTTACTGTGATATACAGCAGGAATTTCACAAAATCAGTGATCTGTAAATGAACTGATTCCAACTATTTGTCACTTTATTTTTTTATTTTAAACATATATTGTGTTGATTCTGTGATCGAAATATGTGATAACTACATTATGTAAATAGAGAGAGCACTTTCAGTGTATTCCACCAAGGTCCGAAAACACTATCCAAAAAGGATTCAAGGACTTCCACTAAGCTGTGTTAGATGTTGGAATAAAATGCTGTTTCCACAGGTATCTTCACTGCACCTGTTCCAGGCATTTACTACTTCACCTTCTTTTATCATGCTGGAGGATCACAGGAAGTTTTTCTAATCCTCATGAAGAACAACCAGGATGTTGTGACAGCCGCTGATCACGGAACATCACAAGATGACGCTGATAATGGTGGCAATGCAGTGTTCTTACAGCTGCAGCAAGGGGACCAGGTGTATGTGCTCTTAGGTGCAAATAAACATGTTTGGGGAAACGATTTCATTACCACCTTCAGTGGTTTTCTGGTCAGTCAGGTTTGAAAAGTGAATTAATATATGATTTATTTCTCATTACAGTTGCAATTTCTAATTTCTTTTGACAGATCTGAAATGATTATTATTCACTTTTAATTGATTCATATTGTTACAGCTGCTTTAAGTGCCCTTTGTACAACTTGGATGTGTACAAGTAACTATTAAACAGATTACAGACTATGTTACAGTGTGTTATCTGGACAGTTAGATCAGAATTAATAATAATGCTTATACTTGTTAATTATCTAGTATCTACTTATCTTGTTTTTCTCTTCAAAAACAATAAAGTCAAACTCTTTTGTTGCATCATAAAATAATTTTTGAAACGTTTGTGTTTTTCTATGAAATCCTAAAAGATGACAATGTAAAAGTGCTGTATGTGGTTTGCTATTTCTTTATAAAACCTATTCCCAATCCTTTTATTTGCATCTTTCACAACATGAAGAGTTCAAAACTCTGATCAATAGATCATAATAGAAATAGAACAAACAATTATTAATAAGTGAGAAGTGAATTAATTTTAAATGTGTGTTTCCACCAATGATTCTGACCTCCATTACAGATTTCCAACAAACATTAAAGGACACTTTTTGTGTGTCTTGAGGCAACTGGTAGGGAAATAACCAACACCCTCTGCTGTGCCAAGCCAAAAATGCATGCCTGCACACTCAGAGAACAGATACAAACATTTTTAACCAAAGACAAAGGACAAGTGGATGATTTTAAATGTGTATGAAAAAGTGGAAACCCATATAGAATTAATTCAGTGATCTTTGTTATGAAGTAAGCTGCTTTATTGTGTGACGACTGAAAAGCAGATTCTATATTTTTGGTCTTTAAAAAGTCCTGGAATTTAGAAACAAAATTACCAAATGCAATAGCCATGAACATAAAGTGTCCAATGTATAATGTAAATGAAATCTGTGCATTTTGTGTAAAACTTTGATAAATACAGCTGCTTGGTGGGGATCATATTAGTGGTCTCTACCACAGTAGTAAACACAGCTGTTCACTTAAGGGTTCTATTATCTGAAAACTATCAAATACTTAAATTCAATATAGATATCAAGATATCAAAGGTTACAGTTTTTTTTCGATTGCTAACAAGCGTTTACCTAAACTTAAGATACTTTATCGAAACTCTTAACACAGCAACACACCTACCTCACACAATTAGCCAAATAGTACATTTTCTGCTCAAAACCACATTTTGTTCTTTAAACACCAACTCTACATTTCAAAATGCAAAAAAACATTCTCTATATACACAAACTCTATCAAAACACAGCAAACCTGACTCAAAATCAAATCATTCTGTCAAAACACTAGCACATTTTCTTTCCAAGAGGAACAGATCAATCAATCATAGCACAACAACTTTCTAAATACAAACAGTTGATAGCATTACAAAAACTCCATTAGTTTTCATGTTTCAGCTCTACCTGCAAACAGTAGACAATGAGAAATCCATAGTTTTTTTTAAATTCAGTTTCCTTTTACTGTAAACCACCCTAAATTTTTGGCTTGAGGGTCGATGTGTGCATTTATGGCAACAAACTATGCAAAAGTGAATGAGTCATCTTTACTTTATAGAATGTACAGTAGAAAAAAATTGTAAGCGACAAAATTGCAGAAGTTAAACGCTTTATCAACATGAAATTGCAGCCAGTGATCAACAAATAATCCAAACTATGTGGCCTTTGGTTCAAAATGTGTCAAAATACTGTCAGATACACAATTTGACAACAAAAAAGAGGCACAGATGGAAAAGGAAAAAAAAAAGCACAGTCCTGTTCTAATCCATACGATCTTCAGCATTTGACCACATGTTCTCATCCACATCACATCTGATGTCATCTCTCGCTATGTGTAGTGAAGACACTGGGAGTATACTGTATATGGCGTTAGTTCAGGGGCTATCACTGGGTTCACACCGGGGTCCCGACCAGAACACCAACTTAAGGCTAATTAACTTTTAGAGGATCCACAATGAAGAAGCAGGTGATGGATAGTGCAGGTGTTAAATACTCTCTTGCTGGCAATGAGGTCATGTGGTTTTCTATATCAAAAGAACAATAACAAATACACAAATGAAAAAGGAATAAAGCTCTTAATCACTAATAAACATAATAAAGGAGTACTGAAATTACTACATCCCCATTGGCCCCTAATTATCACTACCACAGTCCTGAAACACACTTACTTACTAGCATATTAACACACATATAAACAACATCACATGGTAATATTTACGTAACGCTCACTGTGAACATTACACTAGCGAGTCGGAGCGATAACAATAACATAACACGTGACGTGACGTGACGTACACTCGATCAGAGGCAGGTGAGCTAAATGCTACAACTAGCTTAAACAGTGATCACATGGCAAGTGTGAAAGCAACACATCAGAACAACAGAAATAATCTATGGCTACAGCAACGTAAACACAGTACATCAACAATATATCCGGACATACTCACTTTTCATCCACGCACAGACCACTTCCCGTGATGTTAATTAACTGTTAATCCCTCACTCTGCCGTCTCACCAGAGCACACACCTCTCCGACCAAGCACCGGGGGGGCTCCTATATGAGCTGACCAACACTACATCTATGAAACATCACACACTAAACATAATATGTCTCAACTTTGGGGCCTTTTCTACACTATGCACCTTGGAAAGAAACGCTTGGCATGCCTTATCCAGCTGAGATATCTCTGCAGCCGGCATCTATTGCATCAAGTAGAGACATTCGGTCATGTGGCCGATGATCGTACACTTTCCACCTACAGGAAGATAAATATTCCTCAATGGGGTTGAGGAAAGGCTAGTAAGGGGGGAGGAAAGGGGAAACCATTCTTGGATGGGCCTCAAACCAGTTTGTGATTGCATGTGCATGGTGAAAAGCAACATTGTCCCATGCAATTACAAATGTCCTCACGTTTCCTCCAACCTGTTCCCTTTCTGCTTCTGGCACCAGTCGTTGGTGGAGGTCATCTAAAAACAACAGAAGTCGCTCGGTATTGACCAATCTGGTATTTGTGCAGAACCAAACCAGCACTTGAGATTGCAGCACACGTTGTAATATTTGCTCCTTTCTGACCCGGCACATCAACGGTGGCCCTTTTTCCAATGACGTTTCTTCCACACCAACGTGGTCTTTATTTCTGACATGTTGTGTGTAAGCATATGTAAATAACACAAAAAACATCCATAGTTTTGGTATTGGGTGAGCTTGTACGTAACTTAGAAATGGGATAATAGACTGCATATTCTGTGGAAACAACATGAATTGTGTTAATTGTATGGTATGAACACACCAATGTGGGGCTAACTGTGTGTAGAGTTTGGAAAATGTGACTACAGATTGGACAAAAAGATCTTAGTGGTTGTAAAACACTGTAATTAGTAAAAGTAAAAAAAAAAAAAGTAAAAGTAACTTTATTTATTGGTTAATTTGCTTCAATACCCCCTGAAACACATTCATCTTTCCTGTAAGACCAGTTAAGAGTTGAGAAATATTTCTGTTTTACATTTCCAAAGGATTTCAAAGGTTAATTGATTGCCAGTAAATGTCCTCACTGCACGTCCACTGAAACATTAAACAAATAATTTGCAACAAGATAAAAATAGCTAACTGTCAACTGTGATGTTAAAAATTAACAGAGTCTCTATAAACAACATAAAAGCAGCCAGGGGGATCACATCAGTCAGAGTTTAGGTGACTGAACGACGCTGAATCAACTTGGATGATGAATTTTACCATTGTATTGTCTATGCTGCTATACTGCAGCCTGATTTTGGCCCAGGATGATGTTAATGTTCCTGAAACAGAAAGAACTAGTGAAACACAGTCATGCTTTCCAGACATGTGTGAATTCCTGAAAGAGTTTGGTGCCATAAAAGAAAAACAGACAGTTATGGAAACCAGACTGAAGGACAGTGAAACCAGGCTGAAGGACAGTGAGACCAGACTGATGGACAGTGAAACCAGACTGACGGACAGTGAAACCAGGCTGAAGGATAGTGAAACCAGACTGAAGGAAAGTGAAAACCAGATTCTTGAACTGAAGAGCAAAGGTAAAGGGAAAGTTCTGCCCTGATTATTTTTAAGACTTCAGTGGAGAATTATTTTGCGTATCAGAATAAATACAATATAACAGTGTGGAAGTACATATACAAAATAATGTGATCACAATGTTTTGCTTTACACAGAAAAGACCGTGGTAGTGTTCAGTGCAGCAGCAGGTGGGAGTGGACACATTGGACCCTTTAATACAGATACAACTGTAGTCTACAAAGTAGTTAAAACAAACATTGGCAATGCCTACAGTCAATTCACTGGTAAGTAGAAACTCTTTCTATAATTTCTTAATTTACAAATAAATATATAACTCAGCAATTACTTTCTTGACTCTGATTGGTTGGTGTTGGTTGTAAATGGCATTAGGAGTGCTAGAACAAGCCAGAGGAAGCAGATTGTTTTCACAGATTTTCTGTCTCATGTACTGCTTTCAGGATGAAGTGAAAATTACAGGAAATGTGACAAAAAAAGAAGCAAAGACAGAAATTTTTTTTTAATAACTTCCACTGGGTCCTTCTCCGTTCCACTATAATCTAAATACAGAATAAAGGTTACCTATGCTAGCAGAATGGCTTTAAGTCTGATAGTGTTGGTCAGTATATGTCAATACACCATCGAGATAACCAGGAGATGAATTGCTATGCGGATAGGAAATTTTACACAGATGCTACGGGAAGCAGAGGATGGATCTGATAGACTTTTATCATCCTCTGACTTTTCCTCTGGAGTAAATAAGGTACAGAGAGATTCCCAGAGGATGAACTGTAATAATGTTGATCCCTTAACTTTTCATCGAGGGCCATCATCAATTGGTCTTTAGGTTATGACTAAATACTAGCAAAAATAATGACATTTCTTTTATTTGATTGAAATTGTGACATTTGTCTGAGAAGAAGGGCCTGAGAAGTTAGTCTGAGGAAATTTGGTAATTCGATCAAAAAAGGGATATTTATTTATCTTTAATTCATCTTTATAATAAGAGTAATTTTGGGAAATACTAGAGATATAAATAAACGATTTTAATAAAAAAAAAACATGTATTTCAAAATGGAGTAGATTAATGTTTACTGTGATATATAGCAGGAATTTTAGGAAATCAGTGATGTGTAAATGAACTGATTCCAACTATCTGTCACTTGAATGTTTTTATTTTAAACATGTATTGTGTTGATTCTGTGATAGAAAGATGTGATTACTGCATTATGTAAATAGAGAGAGCACTTTCAGTGTATTCCACCAAGGTCCAAAAACACTCTCCAAAAAGGATTCAAGTACTTCCATTAAGCTGTGTTAGATGTTGGAATAAAATGCGGTTTCCACAGGTACCTTCGCTGCACCTGTTCCAGGCATTTACTACTTCACCTTCTTTTATCATGCTGGAGGATCTCAGAGAGTATCTCTAACCCTCATAAAGAACAACGAGAGTGTTGTGACGACCTATGACCACACTACATCGCATGACGGGGCTGATAACGGTGGCAATGCAGTGTTCTTGCAGCTGCAGCAAGGGGACCAGGTGTATGTGCGCTTAGGTGCAAATACACATGTTTGGGGAGACAATTTCATTACCACCTTCAGTGGTTTTCTGGTCAGTCAGGTTTGAACATTGAATTAAAGATATGATTTATTTGTCATCACAGTTTTAAAATTTCTATGTCCACTTTTCATTGGTTCCTATTATTATAGCTGCTTTAAGTGCCCTGTACTGATCTACAATCTATTTATCTATCTATCTCTGTCAAGTCAACCTCATTTGTTGTATCTTAAAATAATTTTTGAAACATTTGTATTTTTCCATGAATAATTTCCTAGAAAATTAGAATGTAAAAGTGGTGTATGTGGTTTGCTATTTCTTTATAAAACCAATTCTCAATCCTTCTATTTGTATATTTTACAACATGAAGAGTTCAAAACTCTAGCCGTATCAACAGATTAGGTAACACTTTATAATGAGTACACACTATTAAGCATTAGTTAAGCATGAATAAATACTGAATTCATCATTTATAACGCATGAATACACATTAGTATGTAGTTTATAAACACAGTTAAAAATGTTTTATTCATCATTGATAAGCACATTAGTTATGGATTAGTAAATACTGAATTCATCATTTATAACGCATGAATACACATTAGTATGTAGTTTATAAACACAGTTAAAAATGTTTTATTCATCATTGATAAGCACATTAGTTATGGATTAGTAAATACTGAATTCATCATTTATAAAGCATGATTCTGCTGTAAATAGTCATTACTATGTGGTTTATAATCACAGTTATAAATGTTTTACTCTTCATTGTACTGTACATTTCTGCATGCACTTGCACATCCACTATTCAGACATGTATTAATGATTAGTGACTGTGTTAGCAGATGTTCTATAAAACTCACAACAAATTCATTTTCTAATGATGGCCTATAAACAGTGATTAATGCAGGAATTCACAGTTACAAAGCACTTACTACTCGTTAATTAAGTATTTTGCACGAGCTCATCTAATGATCATCATCTGATGACGTGCTGAGAGCGGGAGGCGACAGGCGGGATGTTACGTCATATTTCCGTTAACTCTCAGAAGTTTCTGACAGTGCAGCCAAGGGGAGCATGGAGAAGCACATTGGAGTCGGTGGCCGTCAGCGGCTCTAGTGGTGAGTATGTGTCTTTGTTTGGTAGCACACATTATGGTTGAAAGCTAACGTTAGCTTGTCACTTGACACTAACGTTACTAACGTTACCGACCCGCCCGCGGTGGCTAAAACGACCTAGCCTAGTCTCGTCTAGCCAGGCGAGGTGAGTGCCTAGTAGCGGCAGGTCGGCTTAGCCACCGCGGGTTGGTCGGTAATGTTTGTAACGTTAGTAACGTTAGTCGGGGAGCGAGGGCAAACACCTGCAGCTGCTGACAAGCTAACGTTAGCTTTCAACCATAATGTGTGCTACCAAACAAAGACACATACTCACCTCTAGAGCCGCTGACGGCCGCCGACTCCAATGTGCTTCTCCATGCTCCCCTTGGCTGCACTGTCAGATACTTCTGAGAGTTAACGGAAATATGACGTAACATCCCGCCTGTCGCCTCCCGCTCTCAGCACGTCATCAGATGATGATCATTAGATGAGCTCGTGCAAAATACTTAATTAACGAGTAGTAAGTGCTTTGTAACTGTGAATTCCTGCATTAATCACTGTTTATAGGCCATCATTAGAAAATGAATTTGTTGTGAGTTTTATAGAACATCTGCTAACACAGTCACTAATCATTAATACATGTCTGAATAGTGGATGTGCAAGTGCATGCAGAAATGTACAGTACAATGAAGAGTAAAACATTTATAACTGTGATTATAAACCACATAGTAATGACTATTTACAGCAGAATCATGCTTTATAAATGATGAATTCAGTATTTACTAATCCATAACTAATGTGCTTATCAATGATGAATAAAACATTTTTAACTGTATTTATAAACTACATACTAATGTGTATTCATGCGTTATAAATGATGAATTCAGTATTTATTCATGCTTAACTAATGCTTAATAGTGTGTACTCATTATAAAGTGTTACCACAGATTATAATAGAAATGGAACAAACAATAATCAATAAGTTAAAGTGAGAAGCGAATGAATTTTAAATGTGTGTTTATCTAGGCGATATTTCCCCTGCTGTTTGGCCAGGGAAAACATTGCTTGCGATGTGGATGAGATGCTGTGGCCAGACCGAAATACAGAGGATGCAGCATAGTTTTTTTTAATTTATTTTTTTTACTGTAACTGTATACAGTAAATTCTTTTGTTTTGTATGTGCAAGTTTGTGTTGGTTGGGATGTACAGTGTAAATTGTTTTTTGTGGGAAAAATAAAACATATTTAATTGTGTATTTGTGTGTTCTGAGTATAAAAACAATATTCTCAAATATTTTACAACACACTTATGTATGTACTGTCTGTAGTAAGTGTAACACTGAACAAAAAAAGGCCTAAGCCATTATAATGAATGGAGTTTTTTCCATTCCATTCATCATAGTGTTTTACATTGAGCACATCAGTGTTCAACTGGTTCTTATAAATGTCTATTCATATGATGGTTTGTGTGTGTCATTTGAAAACAAAATACCATTTTGAGAAGAAATTACATTATTTTGAATGTAAAGTTTCATTTTGCAGGAGAATTGAGGGGTTTTGCCCATTGTGTGTGTTAATTTGGATTTGTGGTAGAGTTCTGAGAGTATGAGGCATGCTTTCAGAAAATGCGTGTAAACAATCGAGAAAAACTGTAATATCTGAGGTGCATACACAGAGCCCCAAGCATACTAAATGACTGTACCCAGCCCAGCAACAGTCTGTTCATCCTGCTGCCATCTGGGAAGAGGACTTAGCTTCGTCACTCAGGCTGTGAGACTGCTAAATTCATCCTCAACACTTGCTTTTATTTTATGACTTAGTGATACATTTTTATTCGTTTTACAAGTAGCATGTAGAGAACTATATCTGAATTTCATTATATAACCTGACGTTGACAATAAAATAACTTTGAAAGTTTAAAGTACAACAAACATGGATCAGATATCTATTGCCAAACAATGAAAACCACACCTACATTCATGGGATCTCAAGGGACATCAGTATTACTGTAACAACACAAGAATGACAAACACAGAGAGGATGCAGCAGTAGTTCTCATGTACATGCCACTTTATTCTGATTATATGTTCACATTTACAGTAAATATTACTGTGAAATCACATAAAATAGTCAAACGTAAGTTTAGAGCACTGAACTGTGTTCCACAGTTATGCAGCTTGCTCATTATACAACCCTGCATTGAAAATGAAAAAAAAGTAACCTTGAATCCTTAACTGATATTGTTTGCTTGTAGCAAACACAGATCAGATATCTATTACTAAACACAGAAAACTCCTCCTAAATTCATGGGAACTCAGGGGATATCAGTCTTACTGAACCAACACAAGAATGACAAACACAGAGAGGTAGCAGCAGTATTTCTCATCTACATTCCAGTTTATTCTGATTACATGTTCACGTGTACAGTAAATATTGCTGTGAAAAAAGCACTTAATTTGGTGAACAGATGTTTGTCACAGTTACAAGATGAATTGTCTAATGCCTGTCATACATACAATGTCTTATTTTTTAGACTTGTGGAAGAGATTATGCAAAGAAACTGTCCAATCATAATATCCAAATTGACTCAAACCAAACCAAGGGATTTACCAGAGCATCGAAGCTAGAACAGTCTATTGCTTTGGTGGTACAACAGAGTCGTAGCAGTGTCCTATTGATCCTCAGGAGTGGTCCTCTGTTGCTTCCATCCAAATTCCATAACCAGTTTTGGTAAAGGTAGGCCTTGTCATCATTGCTGGATGGAGCTGGAGCAGTGTCTGGCCATACAGTAATGTGTGTAAAAGTAGTAGAGCAGTGCTGTAAATACACAACCTTGCAGAGCAAGTTGAGGTCTTGGGAATTCTGGGGGGTTGGAGGTGTGACTGCATATTCTGACCACGTGGGTTCTGGTAGTTAGGAAATCCAGAATCCAAGTGCAAAAGAATGTGTTTAGTCAAATCAGTTAGTTAGTCATCCAGTCTGGTGGGAATGATGAATGTATTATTAAAAGCTGAACTGAAGTCTATAAGAATCAGTTTCATAAAGTCCCCCCTTTGAGGTTTGTGCAGGACTTTTTCAATCTCACTCCTTATTGATTACTGCTGTGTGTGTGTGTGTGTGTGTGTGTGTGTGTCCACTCCCTCCACAAACATTCTGACTATTTATGCCCGCATGACTTGCCTTACATTTCTTTTGTTTTGTAAAAAAACACTTTAATTCACTTTTCAACTTCTTTTCATTACAAATTGTAACTATTGTGACTATAAAATTGTAATTGTAGTTTTATTTTCTTGGAGGTCCAGTGACTTGGATAACCTACACCAAAGAATAATGAAGCTGTTCTGCCAGCTTATGGTCTTCCAACATTTCATGAAGACGTGTTCTTTTATTTTGTTAAATTGAATCAATTTAAAAGGTTAACTATGTTTTTTATTATGGTAATAAACTTCCTTCCGTGTGTGCAATTCTTGATAGTACCTCTGTTGCTGAAGGAACTGGAAGAGTGGGAAATTCTTTTTCAGAAATTGATACCTGAACCATTTTTGCTTTACGAGACTCAACATACTCTGTCACTAAACAAATACAGAAAGATATTATGTTCATTTGTGTTTGCATTTTGTACTGACTAGGGCTGCTCGTGAGTATTTAGGCAGTGTTTGTGTATGAGTACTGTGAATATTGTGTTTAAGAAAGAAAATACAGAGAGTTTTTACTTAAAGTACATCACATTTGTTATGAACATTGTACTTTGTTATGTGCTTTTAAATAATCAAAAAACTGTCACTCACTGTTGTGTTAAACTGTTCATCTCTTCCAGACTCAGAGGCTGCTCCTGCAACAGAAGCAACAATTGAAGAGAGTAAGTAATTTTTTTTCAGATTTGCATGATGATAGAAAGAACAGGAAAACACTTGATGGTGTCACTTGCTGGTGTGTGAAACTAATCTTCAGAAGAAGGAGGAAAAATCTTTGTCCAGATCCACCAACAACCTGTGAACCAGCATGTTTGTCTTGCGCTCAACGATCTTTAACTTATTCAACCATAACGACACTGCAGTCGTTACAAACTCATGCAGCCTTCCAAGAATACTGTGATATACAGTTGCTCAAGTCCGCCATCTATCTCCCTTCAGGTTTTTACTAAAGATCATTACCCTTTGTTAAGTTGTCTACTTGTTTGACACATGAATATCATCTACAGAAAGAGAAAAACCCTGTTAATTTGTCTAGATACTAAATAATCTGACAGCCAAAGTCAATAACTGCTACTGTATGTCAAACGGTTCAGCTCTTCCAGATTCAGGGAGTGGATATGGGACAGATGCACCTACAAATGGTCAGTAGATGTGTTTTTTTCAGAATATCACTAGATTAGATTAGATTCAACTTCATTGTCATTGCACAAAGTACAAGTACTAAGACAACGCAATGCAGTTACCATTAACATTACCCTCACTTTTTTATTTGCCTTCAGGAAACCATCATGGTCCCAGTAATCCACGTACATGCTAGGACTTCTGTATTCACAACTTTCATACTTTGAGCATTTCGGAAGAGGTGGAGGTAATCCTGATGATTTGAGTGCAGAATGTTTCTTCAGTCATTATGTTTATTTTGCTTGTATTGACTTTCACATTTTGCCTCCATAATTCACATTGTCTTCTGATTTGGTACTCTTATATTTCTCAGGTTATGTTTTTGTTCTTGGTAACTTCACTCTGTCTGTCTATCTATCCCCACTGTAGAAATGCTGTGAGGCCTTTCAGCCATATCCAGCCTCTGTGCAGGGTATGTCCTTCGAACAGAGTAGGGCTGTGGTACAGAGCATTTGCGCTGTTGATAGCAGATTGAATGGTTATGAAAAGAATGGCTTTTGCACAAATGTATTCTGTAGTCTTTCTTCCATCATGCATAATTAATTATTAATAATTAAAAGGCTCAAGCATTGAAACACACTTGTTTGTGAGTTTTTGTTCCACATATATCCTGTATCGCAAAGAGCTCCATAGCAACATTTCTCTAAATAATAGTGAATACTAAAATTCTTGGGAGTATCTTGTGGTAATCTTGAAAGAATTTAAGTACACAATTTGCAATATGTTTTCAAACTCTGATTTTGATGTTACACATATTTCAGTTCAATATGTTCAGTATAGAAAGAAAAGGAAATATGAATGATACTATAGATCACCCAATCTTGTAATGAACCAGTCCTGGACCAGAGCAGTGCAGTCGAAACTACAGTAACATTATCCCAGATGGCAACAAACCTGGGCTTCTCTGGTCTGTCCCGGTCTCCTTCTTTATTCTTTTTTCTCCTCAAAACCAATACAACAAACCTCTTTTGGGGGGTTTTGTATTAAATCCTATAACATAAGAATCTAAAAATGCAGACACATTTTGTGTGTCTTGAGGCAACTGGTAGGGCAATAAACAGCCCCCTCTGCTGTGCCAGGTCTGTGCAGTGAATCACTTCAATCTACATATTGGATTCAAAACATAAATGGAAGCATAAAAGCAGAAATACAAAACAAGAGATCATAGACACATAGGGAGACAAGAGATGATAAAAAAAATGCATGTCTGCATACTTAGGGAACAGATACAACAAACATTTTCAACCAAGGAAAAAAGAGATTCAAAAAAGTGGATGATTTTAAATGTGTATGAAAAAGTGGAAACCCATATAGGATCAATTAAATTATATATGTTATTAGGTGTGCTGCTTTATTGTGTAATGACTGAAAAGCAGATTCTATATTTATGTTCTGTAAATAGTCCTGGAATTTGAAAACAAGATGACCTAATGCAGTAGGCATGAAAATTGAAGAAACAGTTATAAATAAAGTGTCCAATATTAATAGTGTCCGTATAATGTAAATAAAATCTGGGCATTTTGTGTAAAACTGATAAATACAGCTGCTTGGTAGAGATCATATCAGTGGTCTCTGCACCGTGTATGACATAGAGTCCAGGACAACGCGGATTGGTAATTTAATGAATATGCTATATGATGCACAGCTTCCACAGTAGTGTACACGGCGGTTCATTTAGGGGTGTTTTATCTGAAAACTATCAAATACATAATTTCAAAGTAACTTTATTTATTGGTTAATTTGCTTAAATACTCCCTGAAACACATTCATCTTTGCTGTAAGACCAGTGAAGAGTTGAGAAATATTTCTGTTTACATTTCCAAAGGATTTCAAAGGTTAATTGATTGCCAGTAAATGTCCTCACTGCACGTCCACTTAAACAGTAAACAGATAAGTTGCAAAAAATAACAAAGTTAACGGTCAAATGTGATATTAAAAATTAACAGAGTCTCTATAAACAACATAAAAGCAGCCAGGGGGATCATATCAGTCAGAGTTTAGGTGACTGAACGGCGCTGAATCAACTTGGAAGATGAATTTTACCATTGTATTGTCTATGCTGCTATACTGCAGCCTGATTTTGGCCCAGGATGATGTTAATGTTCCTGAAACAGAAAGAACTAGTGAAACACAGTCATGCTTTCCAGACATGTGTGAATTCCTGAAAGAGTTTGGTGCCATAAAAGAAAAACAGAGAGTTATGGAAACTAGGCTGAAGGACAGTGAAACCAGACTGAAGGACAGTGAAACCAGACTGAAGGACAGTGAAAATCAGATTCTTGAACTGAAGAGCAAAGGTACAGTGAAACTTTTGACCTGATTAGTTTTAAGACTTTATTGGAGAATTATTTTGGGTGTCAGAATGAACACACTATAACAGTGCAGAAGTTAATTTAGTAAATAATGTGATCACAATGTTTTGCTTTACACAGAAAAGACCATGGTAGTGTTCAGTGCAGCAGCAGGTGGGAGCGGACACACTGGGCCCTTCGATACAGATAAAACTTTAGTCTACAGAGTAGTTAAAACTAACATTGGCAATGCCTACAGTCAATCCACTGGTAAGTACAGACTTTTTCTATGATTTCTTAATTTACAAATAAATGTGTAACTCAACATTTGCTTTCTTGACTCTGATTGGTTGGTGTTGGTTATAAATGGCATTAGAAGCGCTGGAACAAGCCAGAGGAAGCAGATTTTTTTACAGATTATCTGTCTCATGTACTGCTGTCAGGATAAAGTAAAAAAATACAGGAAATGTGAAAAAACAAAAAAAACAAACAAAAAGAGAACCAATTATTTTTAAGAACTTCCACTGGGTCCTTCTCCGTTCCACTATAATTTAAATACAGAATAAATGTTACCTATGCTAGCAGAATGGCTTTAAGTCTGATAGTGTTGGTCAGTACATGTCAATACACCATCGAGATAACCAGGAGATGAATTGCTATGCGGATAGGAAATTTTACACAAACGCTACGGGACGCAGAGGATGGATCTGATAGATTTTCATCATACTCTGACTTTTCCTCTGGAGTAAATAAGGTACAGAGATTCCCAGAGAATGAACTGTAATAATGTTGATCCCTTAACTTTTCATCTAGGGCCATCATCAATTGGTCTTTAGGTTATGACCAACTACTAGCAAAAATAATGACATTTCTTTATTTGATTGAAATTGTGAATTTTGTCTGAGAAAAAGTGCCTGAGAAGTTAGTCTGAGGAAATTTGGTAATTGTATCAAAAAAAGGGATATTTATTTATCTTTAATTTATCTTTATATTAAGAGTAATTTTGGGAAATACTAGAAATGTAAATAAACGATTTTAATGAAAAAAATGAAGTAAATGTTTATTGTGAGATATTGCAGGAATTTTAGGAAATCAGTGAATTGTAAATGAACTGATTCCAACTATTTGTCACTTTATTTTTTTTAATTTTAAACATGTATTGTGTTGATTCTGTGATAGAAAGATGTGATTACTGCGTTATGTAAATAGAGACAGCACTTTCAGTGTATTCCACCAAGGTCCAAAAATACTCCCCAAAAAGGATTCAAGGACTTCCATTAATCTGTGTCAGATGTTGGAATAAAATTATGTTTCCACAGGTACCTTCACTGCACCTGTTCCAGGCATTTACTACTTCACCTTCTTTTATAATGCTGCTGGATCACAGAGAGTATCTCTGACCCTCATGAAGAACCTCCAGGCTGTTGTGAAGACCACTGATAACAGCACATCCTATGACGGGGCTGATAATGGTGGCAATGCAGTGTTCTTGCAACTGCAGCAAGGGGACCAGTTGTACATGCACTTACATGCAAATTCACATGTTAGGGCAGACAGCTTCACTACCACCTTCAGTGCTCTTCTGGTCCGTCAGTTTGAACAGTGAATAAAGATATGATTTATTTGTCATTACAGTTACAATTTCTAATTTCTTTTAACAGATATGAAATTATTATACTATATCACTTTTATTTGATTCCTATTATTACAGCTGCTTTAAGTGCACTTTGTGGTCTGGAAAGTTAGATCAGAATTAATAATATTGCCTCATCTGAGAGCTTATACTTGTTAATAATCTACTATCGACTTATCTTGTTTTTCTCTTCAAAATCAATAAAGTCAAACTCTTCTGTTGCATCTTAAAAGCATTTTTGAAATGTTTGTGTTTTTCTATGAAATCCTAAAAGATGAGAATGTAAAAGTGGTGTATGTGGTTTGCTATTTCTTTATAAAACCAATTCCCAATCATTTTATTTGCATCTTTCACAACATGAAGAGTTCAAAACTCTAGCTGGATCAATAGATCATAATAGAAATAGAACAAACAATTATCAATAAGTGAGAAGTGAATTAATTTTAAATGTGTGTTTCTACCAATGATTCTGACCTCTGCATGACAGATTTCCCACAAACCTTAAAGGACACATTTTGTTTGTCTTGAGGCAACTGGTAGGGCATTTAACAGCAGCCTCTTCATTTCAGTTTATATATTGCATTTAAAACATAAAAGCAAATATCCAAAACACCCAATAAAAATCAAAAAGAACAGAGACATAGGAACACAGGGTGTGGTTGTAACACTTTTTGCTTCAGTACCTCTAACTCACTGAATTCAGCTACCTGCTCTCTGCTTATCGACTGTGTGCACACATTGAACCTCTGACCTTTGCTATCATTTGGCGCCAAACAAAATAATAAAATAAATTTAAATTGGGATTCTATTTTAATTGTAAATGAAGCGGTAGTTCAAATTGATATGAAACAACTAGAAACATTTGTTTAAAAATAATAATCCTGCATGCCAGATCATATTATATTTATGAAATAATGCCATTGGCCCCAGGCTGGCTGTTTGAGTCCCCTGTTCTACAGGGTTAGTACCAAGTCTTTGAGGTGTTTTATTTTCACTGGTCTTGTTAATCAAATAATCTTAGAGTAATAACATTTTCTATAATCCCTTTCTGTCATAACCTAGGTCTAGGGATTGTTGAGTTAAACAAAAGAAACTGACTGATCAGGCACTGTGATCTTGTGAGGTGGATGAGGAAGAGTATTTAAAGGAGTCTTGATGCCCCACATCCGGTATACCACAGAGCCCCAAGGATACTAAAAGACTGTACCCAGCCCAGCAACAGTCTGTTCATCCTGCTGCCATCTGGAAAGAGGACTTAGCTTGGTCATTCAGGCTGTGAGACTGCTAAATTAATTCTCAACACTTTATTTATTTTTATGACTTAAAATTCACTTATAAATCTATTTGTTTTACAAGTAGCATGTAGAGAACTATATCTGAATTTAATTATACAACCTGACGTTGACAATAAAATAACCTTGAAAGCTTAAAGTACAACAAACATGGATCAGATATCTATTGCCAAACAATGAAAACCACAACTACATTCATGGGATCTCAAAGGACATCAGTATTACTGTACCAACACAAGAATGACAAACACAGAGAGGACACAACACTATTTCTCATTTAGATGCCACTTTATTAGATAAGATATTCCTTTATTTGTCCCACAATGGGGAAATTCCCAATTCTGATTATATGTTCACAT